TCTGGTGGGAGTAGTAACAATGCTTAAAAAGAAACATTAAGTGGCAAAATTCTTCCATATAACATGCTTGAAGGATACCCTTAACCTAACTGCGAAGCTGTGCATCTGCATGATATATACAAACTACTTTACAAAACTGTCATTTACAAAGAAAACAATGCCATTTAAATTGTCGGCAATTGCCGGTTGCTTACTTCTTTTTTCAAGCAATTGGCTGGAGATCACCTTAATCTATACTAGACCTTTATTCTAGATGGTCTGGTAGAGATGTAAATAGGGGACCCCATGCATGCATGCAGACCATTATCTAAGCAAGCAGCCTGATAAGAAAAGGAGGGATCCCTTGTCTACAGGTTGATGAGGAAAAGGGCCGCTTCATCGCAATCCTGGCCTGGTGGTTGTGGGTGTCTGCAGCTTTATCAGAATTTGAAAACCCTCTTTAAAACTAAAAGATTATTCAGATATCACCTCCTCTACATAAATGAAAAACAAAAACAACACACACTTTTTTGACAAGTCCTTTATTAACCACTTGCCGCCCTGCCACTGTGTATATACGTGTGCAGGGCGGCAGTGGAGCGCAAAACCACGTTTTAAAACGGGCTCCACGCTCCCGACACTTACGCGGGTAGGGGGCGCGCGTGCGCCCCCCCGACCCGCGGGTGACACGATTCGATCCAGGAGGGATCAATCATTAGATTTCAGCCAGGGATTTCTGGCTGAAATCACATGATCGGTCCCTGTCCTATCCTGTCCTGTGTTGACATTCACACAGGGCAGGATATGATGTCATTCTTCTCTGCCTGGACACATTCCGTTCCAGACAGAGAAGAAAACAGTAAAAGTGAGTAAAACAGCACACTGACAGTTAGAACACACTAGAGGACACATTTAACCCCCTGATCGCTCCCCCCCCCCAAGTTAACCCCTTCACTGCCCTGTCACCAGTGTCACTGATCAGTGAACCGATTTTTACTGATCACTGTATCAGTGTCGCTGGCGACTTCCGATAGTGTTAGCACCCCTCCCAGATAGCGCCAGATTGCCCGACGCAGTACACCAGTAATCCCGTTTAACCCCTTGATCGCCCCCCCCCAGTTAACCCCTTCACTGCCCTGTCACCAGTGTCACTGATCAGTGAACCAATTTTTACTGATCACTGTATCAGTGTTGCTGGCGACTTCCGATAGTGTTAGCGCCCCTCCCAGATAGCGCCAGATTGCCCGCTAGTACACCAGTAATCCCATTTAACCCCTTAATCGCCCCCCCCCCCCCAGTTAGCCTCTTCACTGCCCTGTCATTAGTGTCACTGATCAGTGAACCAATTTTTACTGATCACTGTATCAGTGTCGCTGGCGACTTCCGATAGTGTTAGCGCCCCTCCCAGATAGCGCCAGATTGCCCGCTAGTACACCAGTAATCCCATTTAACCCCTTAATCTCCCCCCCCAGTTAACCCCTTCACTACCCTGTCACCAGTGTCACTGATCAGTGAACCGATTTTTACTGATCACTGTATCAGTGTCGCTGGCGACTTCCGATAGTGTTAGCGCCCCTCTCCCGGATAGCGCCAGATTGCCCCCCAGTACACCAGTAATCCCATTTAACCCCTTAATCTCCCCCCCCCAGTTAACCCCTTCACTGCCCTGTCACCAGTGTCACTGATCAGTGAACCGATTTTTACTGATCACTGTATCAGTGTCGCTGGCGACTTCCGATAGTGTTAGCGCCCCTCCCAGATAGCGCCAGATTGCCCGCTAATACACCAATAATCCCGTATAACCCCTTAATCCCCCCCCCCCCCCCAGTTAACCCCTTCACTACCCTGTCACCAGTGTCACTGATCAGTGAACCGATTTTTACTGATCACTGTATCAGTGTCGCTGGCGACTTCCGATAGTGTTAGCGCCCCTCCCAGATAGCGCCAATTTGCCCGCTAGTACACCAGTAATCCCATTTAACCCCTTAATCTCCCCCCCCAGTTAACCCCTTCACTACCCTGTCACCAGTGTCACTGATCAGTGAACCGATTTTTACTGATCACTGTATCAGTGTCGCTTTTTGGCGACTTCCGATAGTGTACCAGAAATCCCATTTAACCCCTTGATCACCCCCTCCCCCCCCAGTTAACCCCTTCATTGCCCTGTCACCAGTGTCATTGATTACAGTGAACAGATTTTTTGACTGATCACTGTATTAGTGTCACTGGTGACTTCCGATAGTGTTAGCGCCCCTCCCAGATAGCGCCCGTTGGCCCGCTAATGCACGGGATTTTTTTTTTACCAAAAACATGTAGCAGAATACATTTTGGCTTAAATTTATGACTAACTTTGAGTTTACGATATATTTTTTATAGCTGAAAGTAGAAAATATTGTTTTTTTAAAACATTTTCATGGTTTTTTTGTTTACAGCGCAAAAAAAAAAAAGCGCACAGGTGATCAAATACCACCAAAAGAAAGCTCTATTTGTGTGAAAAAAAGGACGTAAATTTTGTTTGGCTACAGCATTGCATGACCGCGCAGTTATCATTTGAATTAGTGCAGCACTGTATAGCAAAAAAAGGCATAAATTACAGTATCTATACCATAGTTTGTAGACACTATAACTTTCACACAAAGCAATCAATATACACTTATTGGGATTTTTTTTTACCAAAAACATGTAGCAGAATACATTTTGGCTTAAATTTATGACTAACTTTGAGTTTACGATAAATTTTTTATAGCTGAAAGTAGAAAATATTGTTTTTTTTTTTTCAAAATTTTCATGTTTTTTTTGTTTATAGCGCAAAAAATAAAAAGCGCACAGGTGATAAAATACCACCAAAAGAAAGCTCTATTTATGTGAAAAAAAGGACGTAAATTTCGTTTGGGTACAGCATTGCATGACCGCGCAATTATCATTTGAATTAGTGCAGCGCCAAACAGCAAAAAAAGGCCTGGTCATTAAGGGGGGTAAATCCTCTGGAGCTCAAGTGGTTAAAAAATATAAAAACCCAAACAATGTCCAACAATGTAAATCCATCATCAATCATATTATCCAGTGATGTAGATCCAAGATGACCACAATGAATGATGCCCACAAACCACCAAAACAAAAAACATATGTACGCTTCCACCTGTCTACACTCACTGACTACCATGTGCTTATAACACCTCCATGAGCTGTTGACTGGAATGTAAACAAAAGAGGGAGAGTGGTTGAAATATTTAAATAAATATGGCCATTGCCACATTGATGCCATGCAATGATGTCAGTCAATATTTCTTCCTCTTTGTTAGCAAATGAATGGGGACCCACTTCATTAATCATTGACAAGGGAAGAGGAAAACTGTCATGTATAATAACAGTAAGAAGTCTCTAGATCTTTTATTTATGAAGTGGAGTTTTTTTTATTTTTTAGCTTGCTGTTCTTTTTGTGGTAGGATCCACAATGTAGTAATTTGTGGAAAGATGTAAATTCTCTACAAAATATGCACAGAAGTGTATCTTGACTGTTCCATGCATAACTTATGATCATTGGATTAGTGGTTTGGCTAGCGTTTGTCATACAGTACACTGCTACGCACCCGCCATACTTTTCCAGTGTTTCCCTACAACACAAAAACTAAATAAAAAAATCTTAAAATTCAACGTGTTGCTAACACACTTCTGCAGAAACAAATGAAAACATTATAAAAGCTAATTTTGGTAATTTGCCAATTTGTGTATTGTATAGTCCGCCAGTGGAACGAGGTTTAAGTCTGAATCATTTGACAGCTGTGCAAATTTTAGCTTAGTTCACTCATTTCTATCTGGAGATGGGCTACAAAACTGAAGCCATTATCAATGGATGTTTATATACGCAACAAACTGTGGGAATGTCAAAGATATGGTTATTTTGTAGACAGCAGGGAATTAGTTAATCTGTGTTTGTGCTTGTTTACACATTTTTTTCTTGAGCTTGTTTACTGTTGGCTTCATAAGCAGAAAAGTTCTGGCAGGCGGCAGATTTATCTATTAATATCATGTCAGACATGACAAGCTAAGAAATCACGTTTTCTGCACACTTGTGTCTTAATAAGTATATTCCTTCCTTATTTTTGGCACCAAGGGTCACAAAGCCCACATGGCAAAAAGCAAGAGATGCATCATTAGTGTCTTTTTCCACTGCATGATAATAATACTTTTAAAATGTTAGTGCAGGGGCCCATATCGAAACATTTTGAATTAATGATGTTTTTCCCATTAAAATGTTGAGAAGAAGATAATAAATATACATATTTATATTAAAAATATTTAAACACGCTTCACCCTGGCATTTTTCCTGAATATCTTGTAAACACATTTTTTTTTCTATATACTTTTATTTATTGACCATTATTATCAGAATAGTACATACAATGGTAATACATTTTAATAATATTTCCATGTCCACTATTTAAACTATAGCCAATTTTTTTGTAAAGTCAGTGTAGCCCAGTCTGTAGCTCCAGCAGAGCTTGAGAAAGGTGGCCTTGAAATGCATAGCTCCATCCCGACATGCCTATGACATCACTTCCAGTCTGCTCTGCACTCACAGAAGACCTCTGCCATCTTGTTGGTTTTTCACTTCTTCATCTAAGCTGTCATCCATGATTTTCCAGGTTGCAAGTTTTAGGAAGAGGCTCCCCATCCCAGATGCATGAGCCGACTGGAATACATGCAAAAAGTGCCATTTTTTTCTTGTGTGAGTTGCCAGTTTACTAGTGTTCTTGGTACATTTAATGCTGCACTTATTTTGTCCTGCAGGTGTATCCATCCGCCCAGTGTTTATATCCTGGTCCAAGGTTCCTTCTTGTTTTGAAACTGTCCACCGGAAGCCCCTACTATGTGATGAGCTTTCCCTGCACACAGCCAAGCAGTGGTTAACCCTTATCATGCCTGAACCAGCTAAGTCTGCGCCGGTGTCCACGAAGAGCTCCAAGAAAGCCGTGACCAAGAGCCAGAAGAAAGACAGCAAGAAGCGTAAGAAGAGCAGAATGGAGAGTTATGCCATCTACGTGTACAAGGAGATAAAGCAGGACCACCCCGACATCGGCATCTCCTCCAAGGCCATGAGCATCATGAAACTCCATCGTCAATGACATCTTCAAGTGCATTGCTGGCAAAGCTTACCACCTGGCTCATTACAACAAGCACTCCACCATCACCTCTCAGGAGATCCAGACCGCCTTTCACCTCCTACCCAGAGCATGCAGTCTCTGATGGCACCAAGGTTGTCACCAAGTACACCAGGCATGTCCAAAGTCCGGCCCACGGGCCATTTACGGCCAGAGGGTCGGTTTAATACGGCCCTCCATGTCAGTGTGTCAGTGTGTCTTATGGAGCGAATATGGAGCGGCCGGTCCGGTATTTCCACCGCGGCCGTGTCAGAATACCGGGCCGGCCGCTCAGCTCTGCAGCGGGACCTTACCTGTTCCTCTATCCAGCGGCGCGCTGTCTTCCCGGCTTCTGTAGTGTGGGCGCTGGGCATGACAGCCGGGTGCCAAGTGCGCATGCGCAAGAAGTGGTGCTTTTTGTGAATGGTAAGGCGGTACCTGGGACACATGACAGATCCCAGAAGCCGCCGGACCAATCACAAAGCGCAAGTGCTTCTCGCTCATGCGCACTGGGCACCCGGCTGTCATGCCGAGCGCCATTACAGAAGCCGGGAAGACAGCGCACGGCTGGATCGAGGAACAGGTAAGATCAAAGAACAACTGCGGAAGTAAGAGCGGGTACCTGTCAAATTCAGGTACCCGCTCCCCACCTCCCCAAAGGTCAGCAGTCATCTGTACTGTCCGCAGTCTCTGGTCATCCCTGTGCTGTCCGCAGTCTCTGGTCATCCCTGTGCTGTCCGCAGTCTCTGGTCATCCCTGTGCTGTCCGCAGTCTCTGGTCATCCCTGTACTGTCCGCAGTCTCTGGTCATCCCTGTGCTGTCCGCAGTCTCTGGTCATCCCTGTACTGTCCGCAGTCTCTGGTCATCCCTGTACTGTCCGCAGTCTCTGGTCATCCCTGTGCTGTCCGCAGTCTCTGGTTATCCCTGTGCTGTCCGCAGTCTCTGGTCATCCCTGTGCTGTCCGCAGTCTCTGGTCATCTCCTGTACTGTGTCTGCAGTCCATTAGTTCAGAATTTTTTTTTTCCTGTTTTCTGCCTCTAAAACCTAGGTGCGTCTTATGGTCAGGTGCGTCTTATACGGCGAAAAATATGGTAACTTGGCATAAAATAATTTATTTGCATTTAATTGTAATGGTTCAAAGAATGTTTGGAAAAATGTTTCGGCCCTCCACCATGTTCACTTCATCCAATCTGGCCCTCTTTGAAAAAAGTTTGGACACCCCTGAAGTACACTATTGCCAAACAATTCCCCATCATCCCGTTTTACCTTTTGTATCACTTAACCCTTCATCCTAGGTTGTAAGTTCTAATGAGCAGAACCCTCTGCTTCCTGTTGTACCAAATTGTATTGTAGCTGTAATGTCTACCTTCATTTTGTAAAGCGCTGTGCAAACTGTTGGCGGCTATATAAATCCAGCAGTATAATAATAATAATAATAATAATAATGAGCTTGATTCTAACTATCACAATGTGAGTTGCCATTTGTCTTTTCACTACAATAAATACATTAATATACTACACTCAGATTGTGCCCTGCTATTCTTCTTATCTGCAGCTCCAGTATAAAATGGGACTTTGTGAGTATGTTGCTAGACACTGGCACTGCTATAGGAAATTCTGCTGTCACATTTATAGAGCAGCTGTGTTTAACCATCCTCCATCCAATAGGAGGGCAAGAAAGGATATGAAGTATTGGAGACTTTTGAGAAGCCGTGGAGGACTTAGAGTGTAGTTTACTAAAGAGACTCAGCCATTACTATAGGTTTGCTCAGAGAAAGACTGATGAGGATAGGTTGGAACACATTTTACGGGCTTGAGAGAAAAGAATGACTGCTTTGGGTATAAACATCACATTAGTATGTAGTGAGAACTCCTGATTCTTGTACTATTTTATTTACTCTGTTTTAGTACAGCTAGAACTGGAAACTAGAAGAGCAGAGATAGCTATGGGTGATCTGTAAGTCCACAGTGCACTATTCCAGCCAGCAAAAAAATATACAACTTTCCATGGACAGCAACAACATGAACCACTTTAAATCACACTGTCAGGGTAACACACCAGAATCTATTAGTATACTGTATATAAAAATCTGAAACATGAGCAGTGTTATGAGTGGATGGCTGTGTTCTGCCCCTTCATAGCCAAGTCACCCTATGCCATGGTCTATGTCGGCTGTGCTAAAATCTGTCCCCGGTGATGGTAATTGCAGGAGGCACTGATGAGTCACAGTAAACGTTCAAGTTATGTGTTGCTGAGCCAGCTATGGGATTGCAAAGGCACTTCCAAGCACAATGTGGTACTATTTGGAAAAAAAGAAAACATACGTAGAAGTGGCTTATTATTTACTTTTACACACAGGCACTTTCATTTCTCTTCTTGCTGCCCATTCAGTTTAGAGTCCTTTTTTTTTTTTTATCTTGCAGCCACATCTGGGGAGGATAGCAACTGTAATCACAAAGACAAGAAACGTTCTTTTGAGATTGGTTTGTTAACTCTAACTTTACCATTCTTATATTTTACCTTTTTCCTTCTCCCCTTAGCCAACTCTTGATCACCAACATCGTACTATGTATTTTAACTTCTCTGGTGTACATATGATTATGTCCATGACATTTTAAATGTTTGAAATGTTTTTAATTTATATTTACAGGAATAGGTTTTTCATATAGCAAAGTGTCTGCTATACATGACTGTGGAAAAAAAATTGCGTAACCTATTTAAACTTCAACAGTTTAACTTATTTCAAACTGGGGTTCTGTCAAAAACACATAGGGCTCAGGGAATTAAATAGAAGGTGCTTAATAGAATGGACTTTTAAAGTGCCTATGGATCACAAACTAAGTTTATTAAAAGTATATGCAATTATATTGCATTTTATATAAAGAACCACACTATTTTGACACATTAAAAGAGTTGTGATACAATTATGATTCCCTCCTAGTGAGGGAAATCCCATGTAAATGTATCCAAGACTCTACACTTAGACTGTGATAGCCTGATATCTATACATCAGCCAAATTCATTATCAAGGGATTCCTTATTGCCTCATGGGCTCTGGGAATCTTTGGTCATGAGTGCATGCTGCATTAAATGTTTATTATGTTTATTTTTGAAACAAAGATCATGGTTGTTTAAATCTCTTCAACAACAAGATCTCTGTGCTAAAGTTCTCAAATGATAAGGCAAGGAAATATAATTTTTGGGGATCTCCAACAACTCAGGAATAATTAGCCTTCAGTCTAACCTTAAAGTACTCATATATCGCTCAAATTTATTCCTGCTGAATTTCCAGCCATGAGTGCCCCTGCAAGCACGGCCCAGCTAAAAATAAACTAAGCAAGATGGAAAATTACCTGCTACAGAGTGATGCTTTCTATCCACTGCAGTCACTGTTCAGCAGCACCAGCAGCTGTGTATGCCATGTCTGCCTGAATACAATGGAGGTCCCTCCATTTAAACTGTTTGCATAAATGGGGAAATCTAAGGGATTTTCTCTCCCAATCTCTTGTATGCTGAATGATCAAAATTTTGAACTGTCTATGCTCGATCTTAATCCTAAAGCTGAAAGTAAATTCCCTGATTTGTAGATCTTCCAGTAACCTAATTTAAATTCCAAAGTGACCCCTAAGACCAAACAAATTAAATTCTGCAGTATACTTACAGACTTCAGACACACAGAATGACTGATTCAAGATTTTTTTTTTTCATTTTGGATGAATTAGGGACATTGTAAGAGCCCCATAGGAGAAATTTCCGTTTTTCTTCTTCCGTATAAAGTGAGAGGAAATCCCCCTTTAGTCAATTGGTACTGGACCAGATATCCCCACTGGAAAGTTTTTCTTGAATGCCGATGTCAGAGAGACTTCAGAGGGAAAACAGACAGTGCTGACAGAGGATCTCATTCTATTTAAAGCTAATGTTTCTCATCTTGACTGTAACTGCCACCAGGAAAGGCATTCGCTTTGGAAGATCACCATTTGCTGTTTTCCTTGCAACTGTGAAAGGTTGTTTTTTACATCACTTTCTGTTTCATTGACAGTGGTCATCTGGACAAACAGAGGTGGTGAAAGAGCATTAGATGGTCATCTTATGTCTTTTTGAGGAAATGTGGTGAAGACTGCATAATGAAGCAGGTTGATGGAAATTTTTGTGCTTTGGCTGGTGTTCCACAAGGAGAATGTGATGGAGAGCCTGGCTATAATATCTATATGATTGATTGATTACAGTGGACACTTTAATAATCTTTGAAGAGCACATATTTTTGGAACAAGTTTGTGGGTGGAATGCTGTTTTGAGTGTTTTTTTTTATTAATTTAGGATCACAAATATTGTAGTGATTTATTTGATGTAAATATTTTTAGTTGAGTGATTAATTAATAATTTTTTGGTGCATATATAGTCACATTTGGATTTCATCACTTTAAGAAGTGGAGTCTGTGATAATTGTGCGCACAGATATGGACAATGATAACCATAATTTGGATCATACTCTGCAAATGTCATTCTCACTCCAAATCAGTCTTCCCCCTCCCTTTTTTTTGAATGGCATGTGGTGTGTGTGTATGCTGAGGTCACAAAGACATCGGGCACAGCTGGATACGCTTCATGGTTGTAAACCCAATTAGCTGGTTCCATGATGTCTGTCAGACCCTTGCCTTGGCCTGGTCCTAAAGCTATAAACCAGTCAGTCACTGGAGATGAAAGCATTCCAGAGTGGCAGTAAAACATACATCCCACTTGAAACCACTTTTTCATACAATTTCATAAATCCCGACAGGAACAAGGTACAATAAAACAAAGCATATATTCAGATAGGCCAGTTTAATATGAGTCACCTTACACCCCTAGATAACATCTACCAGAGAGTAGAAAGCAATATCTTATTATCCGTTACAGCCGCATATGTCATATTTGGTGCCTGGACATTCAGAATATCATTCTGCATATTAACCTGCCAGTGGCTAGGCTGCTGCATGCACCTATG